TCTTATCTCTGTGTTTGCTCGGCATTACTCACGATACTTCTGGATTATTGGTCTCAACTCTCAGAAGCACAGGATCCAGTCACGAGGTTCTCAGGCTATTGTTGTTAGCCACGAGGTTCACAGGCTTATGATGTTAGCTTATGTTGTTAGCCGAGGCCTAGCCAGGTCTAGCCGAGGACTAGCGGCAACAACCTCCAGGTCCCACGCGGTCCCACGATTCACTCGGTCCAGCAGCCCCAATGGTGACAGACTAGGTCCCGGTTGCAACAGCTCCCAAATCCCACAGCTGTAGTTTAGCTTCCTCGGTTTCCGCGGCTCGCAGGTCCAACAGCGGCGGACCGGGTCTCCTCCGTACACAGCTCGGTTCAGCGGCTCGCAGGTCCAACAGCGGCAGACCGGGTCACCGACGTAAACAGCTCGGTTCAGCGGCTCGCAGGTCCAACAGCGGCGGACTGGGTCTCCGCCGCAGACCGCTCAGTTCCAGTGGCTCGCAGGCCCAACAGCGGCGGACCGGGTCTCCTCCGTAAACAGCCCGGTTCAGAACCAGAACCCTTTTGAACACACTGGGAATAACCTAGAACATTGATCCTTTCCCTACTTGGAATTATTCCTTCTGACTTCATATGGGATAAATTTAATGTTGTTTTCTTTCCATGGAATTATAGACTTTGACTTTTGGGACTCTACTACCACATCCTTGGAACATTCCTGAGGTGTTGACGACAAGTTTTTCGATTCACAACCATCGGGGTTGAAAATTGAAATGTGGGGGAATATGTAGGGAAACACCACCTCAGAAAAGAACACCTCATCTCAGAAAACGGTTCATTCCATCTCAAACAAACATTCATGTGTTTTTGTGTTTGAAACTGTTAAAAGTAAGCTGCATCTATTCCCTTGGGAACAAACAGACATTGTTTTTTGCAGGTGTTCAACTCAGCTCATAAACTTCTTAGTTGACACTAATGTAATAATAGAAAACCTGTCACTGTATTAACTTCACTGCCAATATGAACTAATTTCCCATGAAACGGACAGACCGTTTTAATGAGAGTTTTGGTTCAACTGACCTCGAAGCTTAGGAACATCCGAACTTGCTACATTGACTTTACCTTTATCAGAAAAGGAGTATTACTTCCAGGATGGGTTCCCATGAAGATAACACAGTAAAGAACCATTTGTTAATTACACTTCTTTTCAGGAGATGGACAGTGACACCTTTTGATGAACATCGCATGTTATTTCAAAATGTGTCATACCTGAATGTTTATTCATGAAAATGTGTTTTAAGTCATCTCTCTTTAAGATAATAATTTGTCTTATTTTTCTCTTTTAAAAGAAGAGTGACTTTTAAGGCAGAGAGAAAAATGGACTTTAGATTTTATTTAACAAAGCCAAGAGTTAGAACCATCCCTCTTCCGAGAGGTGGACCTTCATCTCTAAAAACACAGACAGTTAAGTTTCACTTCTGGCACTACTTTTACACAAGCATCTACTTCTACAACTTCTGCTACACACTTCACTGAGGCTCTGTCTCTGAAGACTTTATGGGAGTTTTGGAGAGAAAACTCCAGAGAGAAATGCGCTTCTGCACAAGAGAACTAGAGAGAAGAAACCCAGTTTCTGCACTGGGCTCAGAGAGGAGAGACGCATCCTTTCTGCAGACATCTCAGGATGAGAGAAAGACACAGAACCTGACTGAACCAGAACCATCACACCACAGGAGTGGAAAAAGCCCAGCTGACTCCCATATGGACCCTCGTCCCTCTAACATCTAGGAACTTTGAGGAGACTTCAGCCTCAAACGTTAACTGGAACATCTGGGCTGGTACCATTTTTAAGCAGCTGTTGGACCATTCCTGACCATCTCATTCTGGTAGGAAAGAGACTTTTGATGCTTTTCTGGTAACCCTACATCACTATAATCTTATCAGACAAACTACCGCTCACCTTAGACACAATTTTCAACTACTTCACAAACAGAACCAGTCTAAAATCTGCCGTTTAAGTTTCACTGATTTGAATAATCAATTAGACCTTTGATACAAAGCTATTTGTTATTCATTTAAATTTGTCATGCATAATTTTCAACACATATATCACAGATTATTATTTTTATAATAAAATCAACTGAATTTGTGACTTATTTTGGCATATCTGTGTGTGTTAACTGATTTGATGCCCTTTATACACGAGGAAAGAACTCACATTTCAGTTTACATTAATTTGGGGTTAAATAGAGACTGATTTTTCCTCTTAAAGAGAGGTGGTGCCCACACAACGAGGTTATTTGCATAATAAATGCACATCTTATGGGCTTAACTCATAACTGATAATTTACAATATATATCCAGCCCCATATCACCCTACAAAGGAAACACACAACACAAAACTGATTCTTCCCCCAAACAGCTTACTCCAAAGTGGAACAAACCAGTTAGGTTGCTAAGATGGTGTCTTTGGCACGCCACCTCCTCTTGTGCCGTCCCTCTTCCAAGTCAAGCTGCATGAACCACGTAACTGCGTATTGGCTAGTTCAAAGAGTGTCGCAACTCTTTCCCTCTATGGCGCTGAGAGGGACAGTCTGTGTCTGTTAATACAGAATGAGTGAAAATTAACACATATTACTTACCACTCTCACATCAATAGTATTACCCGGTCTGCATATTTCCACCTTCGAAATATCAACCGTCTCCGTCCATCCCTCTCTCCACACTCTGCTTCCATCCTGGTCCACTGTCTGGTAATTTCTCGAATCGATTACTGTAACTCTCTCCTCTTTGGTCTGCCTCACAAATTAATCCGTAAGCTTCAAATGGTTCAAAATTCAGCTGCCCGCATCGTCACCAAAACCCCCTCATTTCACCACATCACCCCAGTTTTACAGCAACTTCACTGGCTTCCAGTCACATTCAGAATTCAATTTAAAATCTTGTTGTTCACTTTCAAGGCCATCCACAACCTCGCCCCTCCTTACCTGTTAGATCTCCTGCACATTACCACCCATTCACGCTCCCTTCGTTCTTCCACTTCCATCCACCTTAACGTGCCTCTTGTCCGCCTCAGCACCATGGGACACAGAGCCTTTTCTCACTCTGCTCCCCAGCTCTGGAATGCTCTTCCCCCGGACATCCGTAACATTGACTGCCTTCTGACTTTCAAATCAAAACTCAAAACTCATCTGTTCAAGCTAGCCTTTTCACTTTAACTGTTATTTTTAAATGTTATTTTCTTTTTGGTTTAGTGTTTTTAATAATTATTTTATATTGTTTAGTACTGTGTTTTTAGTGCTGTGAAGTGTCCTTGGGTGTTTTGAAAGGCGCTGACAAATAAAATGCATTATTATTATTATTATTACATATTATTAATGTGTTTTAAACTTTAGATTTAGGGTAAAATATCAAGTCTTTTCAAGTAAACAGGTTCAAGTCCAAGTCAAGTCCCAAGTTATTGGTGTAAAAGTCAAAGTCAAGTCACAAGTCTCTGAAAATTTTTTCAAGTCAAGTCTAAAGTCTTAATATTAATGACTTGAGTCTGACTAGAGTCCAAGTCATGTGACTCGAGTCCCCACCTCTTTTAGAATCACTAACACTCTTCTCATGGCAGCAGATTCTGGTTTACTTTCCTCATCCTCCTCGATCTCAGTGCGGCGTTTGATACTATCTCTCACAACATCCTCTTCCGCAAACTTTCATCCATTGGCATCACCCATACACCTCTCGCTTGGTTTCAGTCATATCTCTCTGGCCGCACTCAGTTCATCCAACTTCAGTCATTCAGATCCCATTCCTTCCCTGTGACTTCAGGTGTGCCCCAAGGCTCTGTCTTGGGGCCCCTTCATTTCGTCCTCTACCTTCTCCCCCTTGGCAATATCTTCTGTAAATTTAACATTCACTTCCATTCATCATCATCCAAACTG